GATTCTTTCGAGGTTGATAGTTAGATCTGGAAAATTAATTAATCGTTTTAGTTAAATCTATAAAATAAATTAATAATTCGGCCGAAATTTGGAATAATTATTCGGTGTGTTTATCGTGCAGGTCTTATCGTGCGGAGGCAGCGATCTGACGGCTCTCGATGCGAATATTTTCAGGGGGGGGTGTCAGGGATCGTAGTGGGTCCCATTTCTGATCGTCTTTTTCTCGCTCCGTCCCTTTTGATTTTTTGGTGCTACAAATCTCACGCGCAGTCCCGTAACGTAAACTTGCGTGAATTGCGGGGCCCAGATCTGGTATTAGCACTAACGTGATTTGCGCGTGTAAGTACGCGCAAGCATCGGGAGTGGATAATAAAAAAAATTAAAAAGAAAAAAGAAATTGACCTTTTAACACCTATCGTCTTCATCCAAGTTGCTTCCGGACAGAGAGTAGTTTTCAGAACTTCTGAAAAAGAAGAAATGGAGATCGACAGAGGGGCTCCGTCATGTGCTAACCCCCGGAGAGAGAAATAATAGCGTTTCACAGTTGATCGAAAACCCATTATAACCGTCACGAAAAGGTAGAATTTTTTTTTTTTTATATCAAAGAGAGGATTTTAGGGTTTTAGAATTTTTCAGATCAGACGATGAAGAACCCAGTGGGGGGAAAGATTGATGGTAATACGACGCCGTGCTGTAGCAAAGTTGGACTGAAGAGAGGGCCGTGGACGCCGGAGGAAGACGAGCTGTTGGCTGACTACATCAAGAAAGAAGGAGAAGGTCGGTGGCGGACACTTCCCAAGAAGGCCGGTTTACTTCGATGCGGCAAGAGCTGCCGTCTCAGGTGGATGAATTACCTCAGACCCTCCGTCAAACGCGGCCAGATCGCCCCTGATGAAGAAGATCTCATCCTCCGCCTCCACCGCCTTCTCGGCAACCGGTACTTTTACTCAACAAAAACATACATATATATTATAATACAGTGTAAATACTTATAGGAAGTAGTATTATCTTCTGGCTAAGGAATTTGATCTGTATATTTCTTTTTACACGATTTCCAAAGAATGATCCACGGAATTTGAACTTAGCTGCAAGCTGTTATGAACAAATGTAAGTTAGCAACCCCTTGAGTGGTTAGGTATACTGGGTATCATGAACTAGGGTTTCGTTTTGAGGAAAAAAAAGCCTATAATTCCTTTTCGTATTTATCTCTGTACAGGTAGGTTTAGGGTTTCCTGTTCACTGGATTTCTTTCTTCTCTAGTTTGGGTTTCTAGGGCTTTTTTTTTTTTTAATTTCCTTCAGATCTCTGAAAAGCTGACATTGTTTTTTATCCCGGTTTTCTTCTTCCTTTTTTCTTTTTGGATATACATGTATGGATATATTATTTCTGATTATCGATTTGAGTGAATGACATAACATATATATGTATTTGTATATGTATGAGCAGATGGTCGTTGATAGCTGGGAGGATTCCAGGACGTACAGACAATGAGATAAAGAACTACTGGAACACCCACCTGAGCAAGAAGCTAATCAGCCAAGGAATTGATCCAAGAACACACAAACCCTTTCTCCATTATCAAAGTCAAAATTCCTCATCATTACCTGCTAATTACAAGCCGCCTTCTTCGTCTTCTTCTTCCAGACCCAAACGCAAGCAGCATAAGCAGCATCTCAGACAGCTCAGCCGCCATTATTCCAACAAGCCGAACAATGATAATACTAATACTGACCCTGTACTGCTGTCTTCTTCCTCGGCAGAAACCTGCAACGCTGACAACGGCGGTACTTCCACTCGTCATGAAGACGATCGAGTGATGACGAAAGAAACTGGGTATGAGTTCAACGGCGGCGGTGGCCCGCTTGTTGATCATGGTCACTCGAGCTTGATGAACTACGAGGAGGATTCTGTGATGATCATGAAGAGCAATAACGGAGAAGATAAAGAAGGGAGCTTCTGCAATGAAGATATTTTCTCTTCCTTTCTTAATTCACTTATCAACGAGGACCCTTTTGCAAGCCAAGTGTAGTAGCACATACACACACATATATATATATATATATATAAATATATCTATGGACGTACGTATAGATTATATGCTGGAATTGCATCGACAATCTCATCATCATCATCACGGTCATGATCTCTTCTCGTGTTCGGCTTTTGGGCTTGGAGGCATTGATCACCCCCCCACCTTCTTGAAATGGTGCTACTATATATATTTACTGCTTGGTTCAGTTATATGTATAGATTGCACATACATGATCGTGACGAAAAAATGCAGGTTATGCATGTATTATTGTTATTTTTATGCCATGCATATATATAATTATATGATGTGTATTCATGTGTAGAGATTGTATACATATCAAACGAGGAAGACATAATATTAAACGAAAAATGAATTTATATATATATATATATATCTATATTAGTTTACTTGTACTTAAAGATTATCTAATTAGTTAATGATAATTGGGTCCATAATTAAACAATTATGCTTAATCATAATTAGATGTTAACATCAAATGGGCTTAATGAGACATATATATACATACATACACACACACATATTGATTTTCCAAATATGTATCTATATATATATATATATATACACATATATATATATGGGACCACTTGCATTAATAAAGGGGTCCATTCCTGAACTAGGTTTCAATATTAATTTGACTTTCCAAATTTAGCAACATTGAATTCATTTTTCATGCAGATTCAGTAAAAAGTAAAAGATAGACGTACGTATATACATACATAGAAATATATATATATATATATATATATATATTGCTATGATAAGGTCACACTACTCTAATTTAATTTTACAACCATCGTTGTATATATACACATTGGTTGCATATCTATATCTATATATATATATATGTATGTATCCAAATTTAGCAACATTGAATTCATTTTTCATGCAAATTCTGTAAAAAGAAAAAGATCTGTACGTATATACATACATAGAAAAATATATATATATTGCTATGATAAGGTCACACTACCCTATTTAATTTTACAACCATTCGTTGTATATATACACATTGGTTGCATATCTATATCTATATATATATATGTATGTATGTATAAATAGATTTTCAACAATAAAACGAAAACAAGAAGGATAATATTCTATATAAAAAAGGGTTCGAATTATTTGATAAGACATTTATATATGTGTTGTATATATATATATATATATATATCTAAATTTGTTTAACAGTAAATGGGTTGATTTGACTTGACAAACCGAAAGAAATATATTTATAGATTTGACCCTTTGCCCAAACTACCAGTCTTCAACGTGTGATTGGTAGATGATATAGTAATTTTATATATAATAAATTAATTGAAATTTAATATAACTTATTTATTATATTTTCGCTGATTATAAATCATATATATATATATATATATACACATGTATTGTATGTACATTTGCTTAATTATTTATACTGAGGATTCAACAAATTTAAAAGATTAATAGCAATATATTAGAATTATGGATGAAATTCCACCTTCCCTTCTATCAATGCATGGCCGCACACACACACACACACACAGATATATATATACATACACTTATCCGCACCATGCATACAGGCATGTATGTATGTATACATGTCTGAATGTATGTGTATGTGTGTGTAAAACTTAAAGGGTGTGTATCTACATGTCAACCTATGGCCAAATTAATGGTGGATCACTAAAACTAAGTTAATTCATGATTAGGAGAAATTAACAACTATATGTATATGGATATGTGTGTTATGTGTGTGTGTGTGTGTATATATATGTATATGTATATGTATATCGTATATCTGAGAGATACATCGGATAGCAATAAGAAGTAGGACTTACCTGAGAAATGTTGATGATGATATCAGAAGCTTCTGGTGTCTTGGAAGACATATAATACTGTATATTAAAACTGTATATACATCCTTAGGCATTCTTCCAAGTGTAATGATGATATGTAACAGGTGCGGAACAAGAGAGAGAGAATGTGTTTGTGTGTGTGCGTATGTATATATATATATATATTATATGAGAAAGTTCACGAAGAAAAAAGAAGTTGCAGAGACTTACTGATCTTGTGCTAGCTGCGCATATATATATATATATATGGTTATACTGTGTATCGTTTCATGCACGTCTTATACGCATATACAGCTCTCTCTAGATATAGACACATATATATATATAGTGTGTGTGTATATGTTATATATACATATATATTCAAAAGGTCAGGTTTAAGTAATATATTTAGATCAGAAAAAGATAGGTAACATGGGTGGGGAATATGTAAAGGAGGAGCAATATAATATAGATATATATGTATCTATATGTATAGATGCGTTGACCGGTAGATTTGGGGAGGTAACCGGGTGAGCCGGTAGACGGTAGTACATCAACCAAACATTCTAACAAAGAAGAGTCCGAGGATTCTGTTAGACGAACCAAACTGTCATTCAAGAACTAGGGTTAGAATTCGTCTAAATTCAAGTGAAAATTATTTTCAAGCCCAAAACTTTATGGTCCGGACTTCAAATTTTGGCCGGGCCTTGATCCAATATAAAACGGGCAACGTGGATTTGAATTTGAACATGAAGAACCTCTCAACGTAAAATGCTTCACCACCACTCGAATTTGGAATTTCATTCATTCGCAGAAAGATTAACGAAGAGGAAGAAGCATCCAGCTATGGGGAACGCTGGTTCTCCAACACTACCCTTATCAAAGCTAGATATTCCGGTTGTATCCTTTCGAAGAAGAAGTTCGTTCACCCCGTCACCTCTCAGTTTCCGCCATACCCATTTGCAGAAACTCGCTGTTTCTCATAGCACCGTGGAGTTTCCTCGCTTGAGATTTAATGGGTTTGCGTTGCATTCACTTTCGAACGACTACTCTGTTGGCGGTGATCGTCAAATTCAAGAGGAGTCTCTGTCGCCAGAATCTCAAGTGGAAAGCCGGTAGTGTTCTGTTTTTTTTCTTGGGAGTTTTTGTATTCGATTCGATTAAGTGTTTGTTTTATGGGTCTGTTCTGTTTGTTTTCTGGGAAATTGGGACTTCGAAAGTTCAGAGAATTCTGTTATTTTGTGGCATTTGGTCCATGAAGAAAATATGAAAACCGAGTTTATACAAGTCCCAGAATTCAAGTTTATTTTGTTTAATAATATAAATTTTACTTATCTTTGGTGATTTTATTTCTCATTAGGCTTTACTATATGGGTTGATTGAGAGTTCTTGTTATTTGCAATAGAAGTACCGGTTTATGTAATTTCTTGCCCATCTTTTTGGCATATATAAGTAAACACACACACACACAGATAGGTTACAGTGCTTTCGTAATTATGTAGCTTATTATCATGATATTATTGGATTTTTGTTCTGATGTTGTATTTGCTATCTTGTAGGATGTGGAACTGGAAAGGTTATTCGATCCGATATCAGTGTTCTGGGAACAATGGCCCTGCCTTGGTTCTGGTTCATGGTTTTGGTGCTAACAGGTCGACATTATTGACATCATTGACATTTTGCTTCTCATTAGCAGACAACTAATTTCTATAGGTATAAAGGCATATATTGCACCATGTGTTATCATGTTTCGTGTCAAATGCGTGCTTGCTTTGAACTTTTCCTGTGGTTTTGGAACATGGTAGGATAATAATTTGCATCACATGCAAGTCAAAAGAAAACTTGATTTCTAGTTAATAGTTGTGGATGGTCCCGATTCCTATTTGCTCATAATGAGCACACACTCTGTGTGGCTGTGAATATTATACGCGTGTAGCTGAGTTATGCTCAAATTTTAATTAGATATCATAACAGTGGAAATACAATATAATGGGATAAAATTTTGAAGAAAATAACATTTTAATTTCAAATCTATTTCATATCGAGTTTAAATTGGTTGTTTTTTGTGAACCAAGACAACTGGCAATATGAATATATAATTGAAATTGAAATATGAATGGAGTCGGTTTAGTTGTGCATTAAAATGTAAGTAGTTAATTAGCGATTAGAATTTCAGCCTTTACAATCTATGATCATTGGATTCTTTAGTTAAGTAGTGATATTAAGTAACCACTAGTAAATCCTAGCGGCTTGAGGCGTGAACTATCGCACTTAGGGAATCCATTTGTATGGAATGTGCCTTGGCCAATGGGATAATTCAAGGATATTATCCTAGATGTTGGAAATACGGGTCTTTGAAGCTCATTACTATTTGCTTTGAACTTTCATTCTTCTAAAGCAAGAGAATCTATGCATATTTCATTTGTAGGAGACTCTGTGTAGATTCATATTGTGATCATATTGTGTTAAGTCTATCTTGGATAAAGTAAGTGCATCACCTTGCTGTTTCCTTCAAGAAAGTCTATAATTCTGCTTACAAGGCTCAAGTCCAACAAACTTCATGCTTAAGTCTTATCAGAGAAGAGAAAATAGTTGCCAAGTTTAAAATGATTCTGTTTGATTATGATGTCTATGGGTGGGATATTTTGGGAAGATTTTTGATTTTTTAGCTAATATGTAAATACTTTGTATAAGGGCGATACCCTCTTGGTGTCATTTACATAATACGTATTCTTTCTATCTCAAAAAATTGATCTTGTTTGATTATTTGTAGAAAATGTGGCCAGAGATGAAGTTGAATTAATCTTAGCTTTAGTTAGGGTTTAATTTGGTGACATTGTCATTTCAATGTTAGTTTCAATTCCTTTTTTTCCCCCTTGGTACATGATGGTGGTAATGCATGTAATGGCATGAAAAGATTACGGGGGAACTTGATCAGTTAGTCAAGAAGAAACAAGTTATTTTTTAATTTTCATTTTTGCTTTTATCTCAATCAGTTCTGAATATTATGGCCTTGTACGAGTCATTTAGGAGAGATTTTCTCATAATGGTGTAAAAGATTCTTCTGTAAAATATTTCCTACATGAAGAGAGGTATGCAACTGTTTGAGGGATGAATTGGCCAAAATCAATTGAAACACAAGATGCATAATTTATGCACTCTGTGTTTTATATTATAAAATGAAGCATAAGAGAAACTATTTATGGTTCTATTTACCTCACAATTAGTGATCCTATCAATTATTTTCTTTCATTGTTTTCTACAAATCTATAAGCTAGACTTCATCCTTCAGCGTTGACCATTGTCTTCCAAGTTACATTCTTTGCATATATATTTTCTCACTCAGCCAGTAGGCATATGTATGTTTCACTATATGTGTTAGTCAGTCTATATTTTGTGTTAGTTTTCATATTTAATGTGCTTAGTTCAGTTATTTTGGTTTGCTTACTGATTGTCACAGTGATCATTGGAGGAAAAATATACCGGTTCTTGCAAAATCACATCGGATATATGCAATTGATCTTCTTGGTTATGGATATTCTGACAAACCAAATCCTCGTGAGTTTGGAGGCAGCCTCCTCTATACATTTGAAACATGGGCTTCCCAACTAAATGATTTTTGCATTGACGTGGTTAAAGATGAAGCTTTTTTCATTTGCAATTCCATTGGGGGTAATTGCTCTTTTTAGTTCTCTAGATTATATTGTGTTAATTGCATAATGAGATCTGCTTTGGTGCTCAAGGAATTGTAAATTCCAAAAATTGAGGGCTTATCACATCACATGCTTAGAAGATGCAGCCAACAGTTTGTTGCTGCCTTGATGTTAATTGACAAAAGTTAAATTGTGTATCTGGTAATTTTTTTGTTAATTATCAGGATTTTTGTTAAATTCTGATGTCCATCTTCTGCTTTCTTTCTTCCCTTTTTCATGAAACTTTGGTAACTTGTTTCATCTCTTTATACCATTTATTTTGTTTGTCATTTCAAAATGTATTTGCTAGATTTCATTTTTTTTTTCTGCAACATGCAACGTTTTCATGTTTGTTTTAGCATCTATGTACACATGGAACAGCCAAATTATATTACAAGCCTTTCTTTAAAAAAAAAAAGGGAATCATATTGCAAGCCACTTGCATGGAGGAGTAATGCACTCCAGGCTTTTGTAAAACTAAGTTTCTTACCATGGTTGTTCAAGTTTAAATTTTTGCGGGGAACACTTGAGAACTTTTTATATTTTTCAGGATTCCAGCAATATTTGCATGCCAAGTTGCCAACATCCTGCTGCCACAAACAGACTTTGTTTTTTACTTTATTTCTTGTAATAAAGAGGAAAAGGCACCCTTATTAAATGCATTCTCTTTCATAGATCTTGGGAATTAAAGGAGTGCAAATTTTTGTTTCTTCCTGTAGGACTTGTTGGTCTTCAGGCAGCCGTGATGGAGCCACGGATCTGTAAAGGCATTGTCCTATTAAATATATCCTTGCGTATGCTTCATATAAAAAAGCAGCCATGGTTTGGAAGACCTTTCATTCGATCATTCCAGAGTTTGCTGAGGTAAAAGCAACATCTATGCTTTCTTTCTTCTGACTTTCAAGTTAGAGACAGATTGTCATGCTGATGTTGCAGGGAAACTCCAGTACGAAATTTTTTTTTCAGAGCTGTTGCCACACCTGAGTCAGTAAGAATATTCTTTGCCAGGTATTCTGAGAATAAATGCCCTTTCTTCTCTTTTATTCTTTTTCTTTTTCCCCTTTTTATCTGTTAGGAATTTCAGTCAAGTTTCAAGAAGGAAGTACAGAGACAGTTATGTATATTTTCTTAAAAGCTACTG